TCTCCTGCCTCAGCCTCCCGAATAGCTGGGATTACAAGCATGCACCATCATCCCTGGCTAATTTTGTATTTTTGGTAGAGACGGGGTTTCACCATGTTGGTCAGGCTGGTCTTGAACTACTGACCTCAGGTGATCCACACGCCTCGGCCTCCCAAAGTGCTGGGATTACAGGTGTGAGCCACCATGCTTGGCGAAAACTAGACTTATTCTCTAAGAATTTAGCAGTCAATTCAGACAGATGCCAAGTCCATGAAGAACTGTCTAATTTTGTCGTGTGAACTCCAGAGTGGAAGTCAGACCGATGCAAATTCAGGTTTTCAGGTGACCTGAAGCAAATCGTTTCACAGTCTAGGCCAGATTTCAGCGGTTCCAAGCCCAGCTACCATTCACATTACCTGGGGACCATTTCTAAACTATGGGTACCAAGCTCCGCTCCAAACCAGTTTCATAAGGATTTCTGCAGGGTGCAGCCTAAGTATCAAGAATTTGAAGAGCTCCTTGCGTGATCCTAAGGTAAGCTCCACTGCAGCAGAAGCTCTCCAAGCGGCCTCCCAGGCATCCCCGGTGCCTACAGCCATGTATGATTCAGGGTAGACACTTAGTATGTGTTGGTTGAATAAATGAATGAAGATTCTGGCTCACTTTTTTGCTGTTTTCACGTTCATAATTTATGAGGTAAAAGAAGAAAAGGAGTTTAATCTCAAGAAAGAATCACAGAGAAACACTGTTCAATGGAAATTTCTGCAATGATGGAAATGTTCTGTAATCTTTACTATCCATTACAGTATCCATGAGCCATGATGGCTACTGAGTACTTGAAATATGGTTAGTGTGATTAGAGGAACTGAACTTTTAATTCTATTTAAAGTTAAATTGAAATTCAAATAGACACATAGAACTCTGGCTACCATACTGAACAGTCGAGAGCGGCTACCTTTTATAAATACATGTATGCCTATGCACCTTCATGCTCCAAACAGCACACCATTTACCTTTAAGGCAGTCCTTCTCCCCTACCACCTGTAGTCTTGGCCAATAAAATCCCCCATCCTCCTCTAGCCAAGGAGTTGGCCAAGGATCCAAGCTACGTCAACAGACTCTTCTCTCTGGGAATTTCACTCTAGCTTCTGTGTCACAAGAATAGAAAATGAGTCAGAGCAGATTAATATGAGTGCTGAAGCCCTAAGACAATGTGCGTTCATTTCCAGACCATTAGTCCAGAGTGTGACGATAACAGAAGTGATACATGATGTGACTTAGGAATCATTATCATCATCCCTGTCATCATCAAAGTACCCTGCAGCTTGGATGTGCCTGCTCCTCTAACTAAGTATGTCATTTGCCCAGCTTCTCTTATGCATCCTTTCTTCATCTGTAAAATAGAAATCATAATCATCCAAACTTATTCCACGGTTTTTGTGAAGACAGCAAATGGAATAATTGTCATGACAGCCAGGTGCAGTAGCTCGCTAGTCTGTAATCACAACACTTTTCGAGGCCAAGGCAGGCGGATCACTTGAGGTCAGGAGTTGGAGGCCAGCCTGGTCAACATGGTGAAATCCCATCTCTACTAAAAATCCAGGCATGGTGGCGGGCACCTGTAACCCCAGCTCCTCAGGAAACAGAAGCAGAGAATCGCTTGAACCAGGGAGGCAGAGGGTGCAGTGAGCAGAGATCGAGCCACTGCATTCCAGTCTGGGTGACAGAGCAAGACTCTATCTCAGAAAAAAAAATAAGGGAGGGGAATAATGGTCATGAAAGCTTTGAGCCAAATAAGGAGTTACCCAAGTGTCTGCTGGAGGTGTTATTCCCAGGGCATAGGTGTGGGGGATCATGGGAGGGTTTGATGAAGGACCAAGCTGTGCCACACCAGATAAGTCACTTGTTCTCTCTGGGCTCTGGGCTTTTTGGTTATACATCTCTTTCCAGTTTCACCACTTTCTAATCTATTTACAAGCCGCGCCTTCCTTGCCTGACGCATATCCTCTTCCACTTCTTTTTTTTTTTTTTTTTTTTTTTTTTTTTTGAGATGGAATCTTGCTCTGTCACCCAGGCTAAAGTGCAATGGCACAATCTCGTCTCACTGCAACCTCTGCCTCCCGGGTTCAAGCGATTTTTCTGCTTCAGCCTCCCGCATAACTGGGACTACAGACAAGCGCCATCACGCCTGGCTAATTTTTGTATTTTTAGTAGAGACGGGGTTTCACCATGTTGGCCAGGCTGGTCTTGAACTCCAGACCTCATGATCCGCCCACCTCCACCTCCCAAAGTGCTGGGATTATAGGCATGAGCCACCGAGCCTGGACAACACGTAGTATTAATTATCTAATGCTGTGTAACAGGTTAGCCCAACACTTACTAGCTTAAAACAAGAATAGTTACCATCTCTAAATTTCTGTGGGTGAGAAAGTCAGGCGGGGCATAACAAGGCTGGATGTTCTCTGCTACATGTCTGGGACCTCAACTCTAAGACTCAAAGGTCAAGGGCTAGAAAGATCTGAAGTCTCAGTTCACCACGAACTAGTGATTGACTCTGGCTGTTTACTGAGAGCCCAGCAGCAGCTGTCAGCCAGAACACCCTCATGTGGCCTTACCACGTGGCTTGGGCTTCTTCACAACATGGTGGCAGCTTTCTTTTGAGAAACCAAGAAGAAGCTGTCTCTTTTTTATGACCTAGTCTTAGGAGTCATACAGCATCACTTTCATCACATTCTATTCATTAGAAATGAGTCACGAAGTTCATCCCACATTTAGAGGGAAAGAAATTAGATTCCATCTTTTAAAAAGAATGATAAAGAGCTTGCAAGCCAATTTTAAAACCAGCACCCCTTGGCTAACACAAGAAGCAATGCACCGAGTGAAAGCAAGTGTCTGAAGAAGTAAGACTTGCGTTCACATTCTAGCTCTGCCACTTATTAGCTGTGTGAGTTTGGGGAAATGACCCTCTGAGACTTGGTTTATACAATACAGGGTGGCAGGTGTTGATCCCTATCAACTTTTCCATGCTTGGAGTCTTCTTGCCTGGGTGAGTTTAAGAAGGTCCTAGCTGCACTAACTTTCTTGGAGTCCTGTGATCCTTCCCATCACTGATAACCCTTGGTTTCTGACTCTGGAGGTAGTATGAGGTTGCTACTGGAGCACAGGGTACCTGGAAACTTCAGGTACCAGGGACAACTTTAGGGAACAGATGCAAAACCACTGAGGCCCTTGGGGCTCTCTAAGGCCTTCCCTAACTCAGCGCTTGCGTAGTAATCTCAGCTTGTCAAGAAATGCAATGACCCCACAATTGAGGAATCTGAATCTGCCGTCTAAGGCCAAGGAGTCTTCATCCTCCCACAAGACTTATTCATGCAAACGACAGGTAGGGGAGAGGGGTAGGCTCTTAAAGCATACACTCCGCTGTCTTTACGTAAAGTTCTTGGCTTCAGCCTGGAGATAGTGCCTTTCCCACCGTTTACAGCTCTATGGCATGGGGGAGGAGAGGGTGCGTTTAGTGTCCAATGCCCAGGGCCACGCACCACAGCCAGCTGTATTCTCACCTTGCTCTAGGCCAGCCAACCCTCCCCAAGCATCGCCTCCCTCGCCCGTGCCGCGGTCCCAGCGTGGTCCGCGGGGTCCGGGGCGTCCAAAGCCTGGTGCAGGGAAGTGGTCTAGGGGAGAGCTCTGCGCACCCCATTCCCACCAGTGCAGCCATCCCATTCCCACTAGTGCAGGCAATTGGGTAAAACGGGGTGACTTTTACCCTTTTCGTTTCTAGAGGTAGTGACCCACCCCCCACCTCAATCCCTAGATGTCCTCCTGCAAGGACTGTGCGCGCTGGGACGGACTCTGCGCTCACTCAGTGTACTCAGTGTGACCACCTCGGCCGAGATATGGGGAAACTGAGGCCTACAGAGGGAAGTAAACTGCTGGACGTCCCAAAGCAACACAGGCACTGAATCCGGTCTAGAATCCCAGTCTTCCAGGCCAGTGCTCTCGGTCCTACCCGCTGAGGGCCCCTGCGAGGAATCCTTTTCAAGAAATTCCCGATCCCAGGAATTCCTTCTGCGCCGGGAATCTCCATGGAGTTTGCGCTCCGTTTGGCACGTTGAAAACTTCCTCCGTAGCTCCGCACCGCCTTCGCGACACCCTGACGGATGGGTGAGGAGGGAGCGAATGCCCACCGGCGTCCTTGAGGTAACTCGGGACAGAGGGACCGCTGCGGGGGGCTGAGGACCCGGCGCGAAGGCGCTGGCCCTTTAAGGGGGGGACGGAGCGCATGCGCGGCGCGGGCCGGAGTCGAGCCGGGTGGGCGGCTGGCGGGCAGGGGACGCGGCGGCGGCGGCGGCGGCGGCGGCGGCGGTGGGGCCCAGGGGCGGCGGGGGCTGCAGCAGCGACGACCCCAGCGTCCCGGAGCCGCGGAGCCGCGATCGGCGGGTGGACTCCGCGTGAGCGGGCTTGCTCCGCAGGCACCAGCGCAGCCCGCGCTCGCCGGGCTTCGTCACTCGCCTCCAGCGACATCCGCCGGCGGAGGCTGCGCGAGCCTCCGACTTGCGGTCCCCGCCCCGCGGTCCTTCCTCCACCCTCAGCCCGGGCAGCGGCGGCCGGAGCGAGCAGCCACGGAGCATCCTCCGCCCGCCCCGGCCGCGCCACCGCCCATGCTGCAGCCAGTCCCGGGCAGCGACCCCGCGGCCGGAGCCCGCCGCTCGGTGACCTCAGCCTGGCCCCTGCGCGCCGCCCGAGCCCGTCCCGCTGAGCCGCGGGCCCGGTGCCCTGCGATGGCTCGGCTGGTGCAGCGCGGCGCCAGGTGCCCGCCGTCCGCCCGCTGAGAGGCGCGGGGCTGGGGACCTGCTGGGCCTCCGCGCGCGCAGCCTTTGCCTCCCCGCCGCGCCCGCTCCCTTTCTGCGGACTCCGCGGCTGTTTCTGGGGGCCAGGGAACAGGGGGGCCCAGACAAAGCCCACTTTGTGCGGGGAGTTGGCCGCGGGCGTGGAATGTGCGCGTCGGCGTGCGCCCCCTCCCCGCGCCCCGCCAGCTGCGAGTCTTGGCTCCGGGACTTGTCTCGTCGCGTCGGAGAAATCGCCCCACGGCGCCACTCTCCCGGCCAGGGGTCCGGGTTCGGAGCTCGCGCTGCCGGGAGTCGCCTCAGTCTTCCCCCGGGGCGTTCAAGAGTTATTTAGGGGATTTTGTTCTCTGAGAAACTGAGACCCAGGGCGCCCAGTGGGCACCCGTGCCTTGACTCTTACTTTCTGCAGCCTCTGGTCCGAGCTGTCTGGCCTCAGTTTCCCTCCGACTTTTCTCCCCTCTGCCAGCCCTGACTGCTGCCCGTCATTGTTCTTGCAGTCAGATGGGGGTGCTTTGTGACGGCTGCCAAGTTGGGGTGTGTTCTCTTTATCCCGTTGTTCAAACAGAACAAGGCCTCCAAGGCTGACCCCAGACAACCCACTCCCTCGGACCCCACTTCACGTTGTTGCACTGATTTTTTTTTTTTTTTTTAATCAAGTAGTGTTTTATTGTACAGGAGCCACGCCCTGATTTCTTAAAGGCGCCTGGCACTCTGGCCATGTGTTATCTCTGCAGCTGGTGTGTGGGAGGCCTCTTGTGAGCCACCTGTTTTCCCGCCTCCACCACCCCTGTCAAGGATTTAGGGATGCCAGGGGGAAAGAAGGTGGTTGGGGGTGGCAGCAGTAGTGCCACTTCAATATCCGCTGCGGCCACCGCCCCATCTGGGGTCAGGCGTTTGGAGACCAGCGAAGGCGCCTCAGCCCAGAGAGATGAGGAGCCAGAAGAGGAAGGGGAAGAGGACCTGCGAGACGGAGGAGTCCCCTTCTTTGTCAACCGGGGTGGGTTACCTGTGGATGAGGCCACCTGGGAAAGGATGTGGAAACACGTGGCCAAGATCCACCCGGATGGAGAGAAGGTGGCACAACGGATCCGTGGGGCCACAGACCTGCCCAAGGTGAGACTTGGGGGCCGAGGGGTGATAGCACAGTGTAGAGTGTTGGTGATCTTGGGGCTAAGAGGAAAGCCACACTCTCCTCCCAAGGGGCAGGGGACCACTGGCTCCATAAGATCTTTAAAATGCAGAGAAATCATACCTGTCCAGGAGAACTTTCACTGCCATTCTAGGAGGGAGGTTCACATACCTGTCCTCAGGAGGCCCTCCCTGCTGTCTTTTAAAATGCCCACGTTTTACAGGAGGGGACAGACAGCAGATGGAACTAACACACTAGGATGGCTTGACATCTCATTTGCCTGATGACACTTGCCAAGCCAGAGAACCCTGAGCAGACAAATGGAATGAATGACTCAGGAGATGCAGGGCTTCCTATGTTGAGAAAGTATTTTCGTGCATTATGTCATTGAATTCTCCCAACAGCCTTGTGACGTAAGTGCAGTTTGGGTTCCCATTTTACAGATGAGAAAGCTGAAAACTCACGTAGGAACCTAAAGTCCCACAGTCAGTAAATGGCAGAACTGGATTCAACTTCAGGTCTTCAGGGGGAGCGTGGGGTGGGTGGTGGAGGGAGGTGTCCGGGTCCTCTGCTCTGTTGGACACTAGATTCAAGGACATTAGAAGAGGTCTTATGGAGAAGCATAAAATGAAATAATTTTCCTGTGTTGGCTGAAACTCCTTCTCCAGGACAGCTATCCTTCAGTTGTGTCACCAACTAAGGCAGAGGCTGTATCTCATTCGTCTTTGTCTTCCCAAGGCCTCCTGTGTGCCTGGCACAGAACAGGCACTTGTGTGTATGTTTGCTGAATGAAAGGATATTTGAGAGTTTCTGTGCTGTACGCTGCTATATAGGAACACATGGCTGATATTTAAAAAAAAAAAAAAGAAAGAAAAAGAAAAAACATAATGAAGACTAAGGAAGCATTTTCGAAATGCAGAGGCCTGAAATCTCCAAGAGCCCTTTGGACTGAGTTCAAAGCCCAGTGCTTAGCCCAGCCTGCCCAGGTCAGAAGGACGGGGGCTAGGAAGAATGGAAGTTAGTATGAGTTAGGCATGAGTACAAGTTGTCCATTTTGTTTTTACCAAGTTATTGATACTGCCATCAGAAATGGGAAAAAGAGAATCAAAGGTTGAAGGTTAAGAAACTGCCCAATATTTCCAGGGGAAAAAAAAATGTAGATTGATTTTGAATGGCTGCATGAGTGTGCTCTGCACTGACTTACAATTTATTTAGCTAATCTCCTAGAGTTGGACATTGTTTCCAATTTTATTCCTAAAATGAATACTGTAGTGAACATTCTAAAATCCAAATGTTGGGGTTCATCTCTGATCATTTCCTTGGGAAAAATTCAAGTATTGCATCAAAGGAGACTGATATTGGTAGGGGTCACCTGCTTGTCTAAATACCCCTTCCACCTCTTTGAGATGCAATGTTCTTATCAATAAAATTAGATCAATTGTGGGGAAGATGAAATGAGAGACTGTGTGTTAAAGTATTTGACAAACTGTAAAGCCACAAACCAGTCCCGGTTGTTGGCTGTCCGTTACCTTTTTCTTTCTTCCTTTTTTTTTAATTGAGATGGAGTCTCACTGTGTCTACCAGGCTAGAGTGTAGTGATGTGATCTCAGCTCACTGCAACCTCCGCCTCCCGGGTTCAAGCGATTCTCCTGCCTCAGCATCATGAGTAGCTGGGATTACAGGTACCTGCAACCATGCCCGGCTAATTTTTGAATTTTTGGTAGAGATGGGGGTTTCATCATGTTGGCCAGGCTGGTCTCAAACTCCTGACCTCAGGTAATCCACCCACCTCAGCCTCCCACAGTGCTGCGATTACAGACATGAGCCACCACACCAGGCAAGATGTCCATCACATTTACTCATGTCCATTATCAGGTGGGAAGACTAGGTTTTGCTCAGATCATTTGTACAGCTGAGGCTAGAGTCACACCCTGCTCCCACATGAGCAAGTTCTTGTTGGGCAACTCTCCAGCCATCTTGTTTATGTCTAAATCAGGCCATAAAAGAGTGTGAATGGTTCCCTGCAGAACTGTTACCACTCCTGGGAACTAAAAGAAAAATCAACGCGCTCACTACTAACTGGTCTATAATGTCATCTTGTCACCTTCAGTCCTCATATACATTCCTTCCGGACGCGGATGAAGGAAGTCTAGGGGTGGGGGCTGCGTTGTGACCGACCCCTAGGGTGGAAGGAATTTTGTGAGATTGGAAAAATTTGAACTTCCCCTCTTCAAACCACAGATCTCAGAGAAACTGCATTCGTCTGCATGAGGTCCTTCCGCTACCTGGGCCCAGAATAGAAAAGAGCCCTTAGAGTCTGGGAGTGCAGTGGAGTCCAGGAGGCCTTGGAGAGAAGCAGCATGGGTTGGGTGCCTGGGTGCCAGGGTGCCAGTGGCAGGGTGGGCTGATCCTGCCCTGACCATCCCCAGGCGCCATGCCAACTGGAGCTGACACAGGGGCCTTCCCTACAGCGGCCACACAGTATGGGGCTCAAGAAGTGTTTTGTTGGGACTGTACAATGTTTTTTTTTTTTGAGACGGAGTTTCACTCTTGTTACCCAGGCTGGAATGCAATGGTGCGATCTCGGCTCACCGCAACCTCCGCCTCCTGGGTTCAGGCAATTCTCCTGCCTCAGCCTCCTGAGTAGCTGGGATTACAGGCACACGCCACCATGCCCAGCTAATTTTTTGTATTTTTAGTAGAGACGGGGTTTCACCATGTTGACCAGGATGGTCTCGATCTCTCGACCTCGTGATCCACCCGCCTCGGCCTCCCAAAGTGCTGGGATTACAGGCTTGAGCCACCGCGCCCGGCCGGGACTGTACAATCTTTTAAAAGGCCACTTGAGCCAAAATTTAAAACTGGGAGATTTCTCACATAAAAATCCAGATTTTTGGCATCTTTTCAGAAAAGAAGAAGACTTGGGAACACATGGGAATGTGCAGTCCCACGTGGCAGCTGTCGGCTAAGGCTGGGGAGTGGGTCCTACTCCCCCATCTTGCCACTGTCTCCACCACTCACTTACCAGGCCTGCCTGCCCCGTGTATGTGACCTGCCTGGCCCTTGCACGTGGTTGAGTCTGGGACCCCTGCCTGGTGGTGTCGTAAAAGGAGAGCACTCTGGAGTCAAAGCCACCATGTTCAAATCCTTGATCTCCCATAACTGCTTACATGAGGAATACAGGCAACCTTTTCTTGTGCCTCAGTTTTTTAACTGTTAGCAGGGCCCCTTAGAGGATGTTTGAGGAATTGATGTAAAGCATGTGATGCTTCATTAGGTGCCTCAAATAGATATACCCAGTAACGGAGCAAAGAATGAGTGTTCCGTCAACACTCCACTAGCGCTTTGGAGCAGCAGCCTTTATGGGGATGATGCCAGTATGTTATAGGGCAACAATTTCTAGAAGGATCCCCAATCCAGCAGCAGCTTAGGCTCCTTGATAAAGAGTCTCTCCTTGATGTTTCAGGCTTCTACCACCTTTAAAAGCTTAGTGGCCACTGACCCCAGACCCAGCTGCTAAAGGTCTTCTAACCATGGCTCAGGCCACAGAGCTCCTGCAGAATGGAAATTTGAACATCTCCTCTAGTTACTTACGATGACTCCAGAGTCCTTTCCTTTTGTTTATTTATAAAACAGGGTCCCACTCGGTCACCTAGGGTGGAATGCAGTGGCACAGTCATGGCTCTATCTTCTGGGCTCAAGTGATCCTCCCACCTCAGCCTCCAGATTAGCTGGATTACCATGCCTGGCTAATTTTTTTAATTTTTTTTGTTGAGATGGAGTCTCGCTATATTACCCAGGCTGGTCTCAAACTCCTGGGCTCAAGCGATCTTCCCGCCTCAGCCTCCCAAATCACGCTGGGATTACAGGCGTGAGCTACTACACCCAGCCTGCACATCTCCTCTAAAAGGGCAATGTTTCCAGGATCAGTATGTGCAGACTTATGTTCGGGGACACTGATAATGACAACAGTGAACAGGAATTAAGTCTGTGCTATGTGCCTGACCCTGTTCTAAGGCCTCGACCTGAGCATCTCATTCGCGCTATAAGGCTGATTCTGTGATGGTGCCTGCTTTGCAAATGAACTGTCTGAGGCACAGGGAGGTCAGGAGCCTCACTAAAGTCATGACTGGGTCGGGCGTGGTGGCTCACGCCTGTCATCCCAGCACTTTGGGAAGCCCAGGCGGGCAGATACCTTGTTATCAGGAGTTCGAGACCAGTCTGGAACTCTCGAGACCATGGTGAAACCCTGTCTCTACTAAAAATACAATAATTAGCTGAGCGTGGTGGCACATCCCTGTAATCCCAAGCTACTCGGGAGGCTGAGGCAGGAGAGTCGCTTGAACTGGGGAGATGAAGGTTGCGGTGAGCCAAAGTTGCGCCACTGCACTCCAGCCTGGGCGACAGTGAGACTCTGTCTCAGTAAATAAATAAAGTCAGGACTGTAAATGGAAGAACTGAATATCCACAGTGACGATCTAGTTGGAGACTCGTTGCCCTTCAGGCCACACTTTTTGGGCACACACATCTAGCCACAAGCTCTCCCCACCTCATTGTGCCGGACTGAAATAGACACACACACCCGCCCCCCCCACAGTGACAATGTCTCAATGGAACTCAGGACTGTAGGGGTTCCTGGAGCCAGGGGAATCTCTGGCCTTTGCTGTGGAGGAGGAGTGCTCCCTGGGGAGATCTTGGTGGCTATACCATTGCCCCACTTCACCCCGCCTCTCAACAGTGAGGAAGTATTCCCCGACTCCTGTTTCAGAGGTGGGGGGTGAGGGGCAAGTCCTAAACTGGGCCTGGTCATTTGCATATACAGAATCTTCTTATTTGTGTTTGAGTGAACGAGTCTATGTAAAGGTAATGAACATTCAGGAAAAAGGTGTAGGTGCTGTCTGCAGTGGGGTGACACAAGTCAAGGAACTAGCCTCGGTGATGGTGGCCTTTAAGGTCCTGCCTGTGAATCCCCAGGTCTTTTTTTAACTCTTCCTTCTCCCAGAGCAGCCAGCTCCTGGGTCCTTTGTCTGGACAGCAGGTGCCAGAGCTCTCATGGGTACTGCCTGGCCCTGGTCCAGGCCTGGCTCTGGGTGAATGATGCAGTGCTGGGACTGCAGCTCCCTGCTGCAGCTTCTTGTGGGAGGGTGTCCTTACAGTCTTTATCTCAAGCTCCTCAAGGTCACCGGATCCCCACTTGTAAGTGGGGATGATCTGCCTGCTTCCCTGCCTGGCAGGGGCTGCCACCTGCAGAGATCAGGTGACTGGGTGGATGTGGCGTGCTATTTAGAGTAAATTGCTAAGTAATTCCTCTAATTCCTCTTTGGCCTCCCCACCCCCGTATCCTTGACATGGGAGGCCAGGCCAGGCTCTGGGGCCCATTTGGCACAGTGTGGCCAGACAGGAAGAGGGGGAGCCCCTCCACCCCAGACTTTTATCCTGCTGGTGACTGTAAGTGGTGGTGCCAATCTGGGGAGGGGGAGCCATGTGAAAGGGAAATGGCTCCTTCCAGACAGAGGCGTCAGCAGCCCAGGAGCCAGGGCAGCCAGCACGGTTGCTAGGGACTGCCCAGACAGGAAGGAGAAGACAGATGGGAGGGAGGGCAAGGAAGTGCAGGCGATGCTGCGGCTGTGGACCAGGGCCCCTTCCCTCTTGCATCTCCACCCATTAGAGTGAGGAGGTGTCTGTCAGGCACTGTCTTGTTGCCCATGCCATCAGCAGCACCCCAGACATGAGTGTGCAATGATAACCAGAGTGTCACTTCCCTCCTGTCAGAGCCCAGCCCCTGCAGTCACATTACTTAAAAAGCTGGGCTGGCATCTCCACCACACGAGAGCCTTCCAAGGAGAGGAGGAAAACAGCTACGTCCTTCCCTCCCCACCCGCCCCTACCACCTTCCCTTCACATGTGCCCCTGAGCACAGACTGTGACTCTCAGCAGCCCCGTAGGGTGGGTGAGCTCAGTGTGGCCTTGGAGGGCCAGCTGCAGGCCTGGGGCAAGGAGTGGGACCTCTCTTTGTGGGGAGCTTCATAGCTTGTGGCGAGTGGGGAGCTGGCGGCCAAGGGGGAGCCCCGAGGGGTGGGTCTTGTCCCTGAGAGTCTGGTTCTGCTACCCAAGGAAGTATTTTCTGAAACCTCAGAGGACACTAGCTGATACGTCTCTTAGCATCCTCGGCCTCACCGACTTGTTGCAGCCAAACTGCCAGACTCAGGCTCCCCTGGCTAGAGAGGGGCCCACACTGGCATAGTGGTCTGTTTTCTGGAGAATGGAGGCCAAGGGGAAGCCTAGGGGTCTGCTGCTCCTGACCTCACCCCAGCAGCCTCCGGCCTCCCAGGTGTCAGGAAGCACTGCCTGACCCGTTCTCTCCTCCCCAGTTTCTGGGTTGGGTGCTGGAAAGTGTGTTCTGGGGAGGAAGACTGTCTGGGTACCTGGAAACCTGCGATGCTTAGGTGTGGAGCTGTCAGGAGGAGAACTGGGCCCCTGTGCAGGCCCCAGCCACAGAGCCACAGCGAGACCTGTTTCAAAATATCTCTCTGGCCTGCTGACTGACTCCTTGACAGTTCAAGTTGGCACTCTAGAAGCCCTGGCGAATATGCCCATGATACTGGGTGGGCCATATCCCCTATCAAGGATGCTCATCCCCCTCAGGACCACTCCCCAAGTCTCGGGCACCACCTAAGAGGATGGGACCCCGGAGACACCAGCTTTGATCCGGCACCTGAACCACAGCAAACTTCAAACCTAAAAGAACCTAATCTTAATATTATATTCTTAAGTCTTGAAACAAATGAATATTTAACATTTGAAACAGTCAGCGAATTAACCTATGTTTTTCTAAAATTATTAAAGAAGCATAAAATTGGAACATCGACATACGCTGTGAATGAGGAATGCTGTTAAGTGCCAGGAGGGAAGGAATGGGTGCGCTGGGGCCCTGGCAAGAATCTTTGAAAAGAGGGGGTGCCAAGAAAGAAAGCTCAGGGTGGGAGGCAGGGAGGCCGTGCGTCCCCAGGGTGGGGCGCCTCTGGGCCAGTCTAGCCTAGGTGTTTGGTGGACTGGAAGCTCCAGGGTGAGCCTCTTCTCGTGACCGGAGTTCTTTCTCTGACCCCAGATCCCCATACCGAGTGTGCCTACGTTCCAGCCGTCTACGCCTGTCCCCGAGCGCCTGGAAGCTGTGCAGCGCTACATCAGGGAGCTGCAGTATCCTCTCTGGTCCAGGGTTGTGGCCACCCTCTGGCCGGTGTGGGGGGCCTTGTTTCCGGGCAGAGCTGGCGAGGTATCAGCAGAGCAGCCTCGTTCCACAACGCCAGGGCCACCATTCACATGGCATCTCTGTGCTCCCTAGTGCTGTGGGACGTGGCCCGTGTCCCTCCTGGGTGTCGGAGGAATTTTGTCTGATGAGTGCAGAGCCCACTCCGGACTCTCTGCCACCTACTTCCTGCTCCTGCCATGTAGCCGGATAAAGAGAGGGAAATGGGTCCCGAGTGACTGGCTGGTGAGGTGGCCAAGTATAGATCTCCCGCTCTGTGGTCCACCTGCCCCTAGCAGAGAGAGAGAGAGGGAGCTGCCTTGGGGCTTTTGAAAGTCTGGTTTTGAATAAAGGGGAAAATGGGGGAGCAAAAGGATTTTATGCTCCAAGAGGTAACTTCAGGATTCCAGAATTTTCTCCTGGTTCTTCTCCTTTTTCTTCCCTGGCAGGAGGCTGGTTGGCCAGCAGGGGAAGAGCTGGGCTCCCCTGGGCCCAGATTGCCCTGGGTCCCTGCTCTGGGCCCTCCAGCCCCTGAACCCTGCCCCAGAGCTGTCTGTTCTGGGTCCTCTCTCCCAGGCTTCTGGCTGCAGAGGTCAGAGATGGGAGGGCGAGGCATGGGTCCTGGGTCGGAGGCAGCCAGGCTGACGACTGCAAATCGGGTCCAGCTCCTCATTCTGCCAGTGGGGAAACCAGTGCAGTGAGGCAGGTGGCTGGCTCAGGAGCCCCCAGCAGTTAGAGGCTGAGTGGACCTCGATCCCTGCTTCCCCTCAGTTCATGTGGCTTCTCAGCTGGTTAGAGAAGGAAGTGCTGCAGGCAGCTGTTCCCCGCCGGCCCTCACCAGGCTGGCCACCTGCTTCATGTCTCTTGTCCAGGGGAGAACAAGGGAGAAAGCCAAGGAGGGTGAGAGAGAGGGAGAGAGAAGAGCTGTGAGGTGGGTGAAGCATGCATGCTGACCCCGTGTCCTCTCCAGGAGACTTGGCTCTTGAGCTTGGGAACAGGCAGGGAAAGAGGGTCACCCTCCTTCAGGCCAAGCTAGGAAGCCCTTAACCCCTGCCTGCAGGTACAATCACACAGGGACACAGTTCTTTGAAATTAAGAAGAGCAGACCTCTGACAGGGTAAGTATGGGGAGGCCAGTCCTCTGCCCCAGGGCTGGCCTAGAATCTCTTGACAGCCCCGTAGTGCACCTTGGAATGGAAGTTCATGGGGCAGTCAGGGACCCTTCTGAAGGGAGGCAGCCTTCGGGGCAAGCACCACACTGGGGCCTTAAGGTTGTCATAGGGAGGAAAATCCAGCAGAGACTAACAGCCAGGGCTGCCTTGAAGGAAAAGGAAATTCTGGGTCCATGCTGAGCTAGAGGGTAGGCGAGAGCCCACCCCCAGCCCTTGCCTTGGCCAGGAGAGAAGGTGGTCCCAGGTAGATTGTAGGTGAGCCTCAGCATTTTTATTTTTATTTTTTTAGTGGGAGATGGACCTAGCAGGAGAGACACCTCCCCCTTCTCTGTGCTGCAGCTGCCCACTGCAGGGACTTGCATGGCCTTGCATGGCCACTCCGTTTGCCTTACACCACGGACTCTTCTGGTCACTGAGTGGAAGGTCCGGTGTCTGAGAACAGGGAGCTCCCTGGAGAGAATGTCGTGTGTCTCACTTCCCATCCCATCACCCCGTGTGTAGCCCCCTGCCTGGGTTCACTTGCCCTGGAAAGTTTCTGCCCATGAACCTCCGAGGGCAGAGGAGAGTGGAGAGTGAATGTCACGGCTGGGACTAGAGGCTCAGTCCAGAGATGCCCACAGGCTTAAGACCCTGGGCATTAAAAATTAATGTGAATAGGCCACCCTGGTGGTTCACACCTGTAATCCCAGCACTTTGGGAGGCCAAGGCAGGTGAATCACGAGGTCAAGAATTCGAGACCAGCCTGGCCAACATGGTGAAACCCCATCTCTACTAAAAATACAGAAATTAGTTGGGCATGGTGGCACATGCCTGTAATCCCAGCTACTCGGGAGGCTGAGGCAGGAGAATCGTTTGAACCCAAAGGCGGAGGTTGCAGTGAGCCGAGATCGCGCCATTGCACTCCAGCCTGTGCAACAAGAGCGAGACTCTGCCTCAAAAAAAAAAAAAAAAGAATGCGAATTTTACATCTTGCCCCACACATAATCTCTGTTTGCTTCTTTGTGAAAATGCTTTTAAATGGCTTATTAGCACAATTCCTTAATTATCCCCTCTCCAAGGCCCTGTGTGGAATCCAGCCTCCCTGTCCCCAAAAGCTTTGTTCTTTTTGGCCTATGGCTGCTGTGTGCTGGAGGCCCACCCCAGCCTTACTTGGCATGGAGGAGTCTGGGTGCCCACCTGGGCAAAGCCAGTGGCCAGGCTGAGTTCTCAGGCTGAGGACAGAGGGAGGAACCAGGCCTCAGGGAAAGGCTGTCTTAAAATGGCCGGAATTCCAAGTTCAGGAGCAGATCCGGAAGTCACCAGGCAGCTTTCTGCCTGAGATCCCACATACAGGGCCAGGTGGCTGCGGGGAGGCAGTTGCGGTCAGTTAAGAAGCTCTTAGGAGAAGCCATGGTTGGGTCAGGGGTGTCCACCGTGCTTCAGAAGGAGGAGATCGACGCCGACGCCCCTCCTCCCCACACTGCCTCGCAGAACGCCCCAGCCTGGTGGCGGTCAAGGTCCTGCCCCCAGAGCGCTTTGGAGCAAGAGCCAGGCGTGGGAGGTGGAAGTGGAAGGAGGAAGAGCGGGCCTCCTTCCTATCAGCAGTGGCTGCCTCTTTCCCACCCCCTCAGGCTCCAGATGTGGTTGGGAGCGTGGAGGGAGGCGCTGGGCCTAGGCCGAGGGCGGCTTGGGAGGCAGCCTCTGACCTTCTAGCAGTTTGAGTCCGCCCCGCCCCCTCCTTCTCACACTTCCCTGGAAGGGGCTAGAGACGCTGTCCTTACCGCCCCGCCTCCCTTTCCCACAGGCTGATGGACCTGGCCAAGGAAATGACCAAAGAGGCCCTGCCAATCAAATGCCTGGAAGCCGTGATCCTGGGAATGTATCCTTCCCGGCCTGGAGGGGAGGGGTCCGGGCTTCTCTAGGCCTCCACTGCCGGCTCTGAAAGTTAGGGAAGGGAAGTTGAATGGGCTCTAGGCCTCTCCCATAGGTGTCATCTGGTTGGCCCCAAGATGAAGAAGCCCCCCTAAAGTGGAAGAACCCCTCCAAAAATGGAGGAGCCCCAGGGGCCCGGGCCCCTACCTCTCAGCGGCTATCTTCCCAGGCTTACCGGGTAGCTCGTTTTTGAGTCACGTGGACGCAGGGACCCTGTTCTCTGAACCCCAAATCAGGGCACAGTGTCTCAAAAAGGCTGTCGTACCATTTCCAAGAACCAGACAGTCTGGGAGGCACAGTTGGAATGCCCAGATGTTGGCATTTCCAGAACACGTTGATTTGTGGATGAGATATTTAAAGCAAAACTGCGTTAAAAAACCACAAGGTCTCCTAGTCACACTCCACCTCTCAACCAAAGGGTAGAGGTGGGGCCTATAGCTGAGTCACCAGGGTAGCCCTGGAGACAGACTAGCCCGCAGGAGAGGCCGCCCTCCCCAGTCCCACAGTCAGCAGAGGGAGAGGAGGACATGTCTCTGGCTGGTTCTCCATCCTAATCGGTCAGGGCCTGAGTCCTACCTTTTCTTCTTAGTCATTGTATTATTAAAAACGTCATACACAGCCAGGCATGGTGCCTCATGCCTATAATCCTAGCACTTCGGGAGGCCAAGGCAGGCAGATCACGAGGTCAGGAGATCAAGACCATCTTGGCCAACATAGTGAAACCTTGTCTCTACTAAAAAAAAAATTATTAAAATTAGCCGGGCATGGTGGCACACACCTGTAGTCCCAGCTACTCAGGAGGCTGAGGCAGGAGACTTGCTTAAACCTGGGAGATGGAGTCTGCAGTGAGCTGAGATTGCACCACTGCACTCCAGCCTGGGCAACAGAGTGAGACACTATCTCAAAAAAAAAAAAAAAAAAAAAAGTCACACACATGAAACATAACAACATCATGAACTCCCATGCACCCATTACTCAGCTCCACCAACTCGAGGCCAATTCTGTTTCATCTCTTCCCGCCCCACCCACATTCTCTACCAGCTTTTAAACATTTTGCCTGTGCCCGTGGGGTAGGCAGCCCACTGGGCTCAGCACTGCAGAGGATCACAAATTAGGTGGGAGCCAAGAGGGGACGGGGAGGGGCCTGATGGAACACGAGTCCCTTCTCAAGGTAGGTCCTGGAAGGACTGCGATCCAGGCAAGTCCTCTCCTCTGTTTTTGGGCCACCAGGGTCTGGAAAGCCCTGCTGTGTGGCACCAGCCCTGCTTGACTTTAGAGCAGTGGCCACAGATTCCTGGAAGTCTCCTGCCTAGTAGAAGTTCCTTTTATTGAGCGCCTGCTGGATACCAGGCTCAATGCAGAGGGCAGGAATACCAGGAGGAGACGCCAGGAGTGTGGCGATGAGCAGAGCAGGCATCTGCACTCCGAGGCTGGCGGGCCCTTGACCCGTGGCTCCCGGTCCCAGCCCCTCCCCATGTGCTGGTCCCGTGCCCCTCCTGGCTCTTTCCTTAGCAGGGCCCTGGCCAGTTACCTCACCAACAGCATGCCCACCCTGGAGCGCTTCCCCATCAGCTTCAAGACCTACTTCTCAGGGAACTACTTCCGCCACATCGTGCTGGGGGTGAACTTCGCGGGCCGCTACGGCGCGCTGGGCATGAGCCGGCGCGAGGACCTGATGTACAAGCCGCCCGCCTTCCGCACACTCAGCGAGCTCGTGCTGGACTTCGAGGCCGCCTACGGCCGCTGCTGGCACGTGCTCAAGAAGGTGAAGCTGGGCCAGAGCGTGTCACACGACCCGCACAGCGTGGAGCAGATTGAGTGGAAGCACTCGGTGCTGGACGTGGAACGCCTGGGCCGCGATGACTTCCGCAAGGAGCTGGAGCGCCACGCCCGCGACATGCGGCTCAAGGTCGCGCATCCTACAGGCCCTCGACCCCCTCCCCCAGCCCCTGCCCCGGCTCTTACCCCTGCCCCAGCAGAGGCGATGTGAGAATTGAGGGAGAGGACTGGGGTGCTGGGCCCTTGCTTAGTGGTCAAGACCGTTCCCCTGGGGTGGGCAGACCAGGATGGCTGCGGAAGGAGAAGGTGGGTGGGTGGCTTTGGATGGTAGTAGGTGTTGGGCACATGGAGAAGGGGGCTTTGGAGTCTAGGTCAGTGGTGGGGAATCACTGCCTCTCTGGAGGGTGTGGTCGGGTGCTGCGATGGGTGGCCTCCCCACTCCTGTAATGCATCCTGACTCTGCCCCCCACCCCTAGCAACCATGAAAGGCCTAGAGGGAGGTTGGAGGAAAGGGAAGAGAGACCATGGGGAAGACAATGAGGGCAGTGTTCCTTCTTCCCCTCCCCACCCACACTTGAGCAGGAGGCTTTGAAGAGTTGGGCTGGGGGCTGTTGTGCCCAAAACAGCTGGGCTGAGCTGTTGAGTTGAGCCTTAGAGCCTTTCAGCAGGCAGAGTTCTCGTCTCTGCCGGGGTTCTCCTGGGGCTGTCAGGGCTCCCTGCTTGGTGTTCAGCCCTCCTCATAGCTCAGTCACTGCTGCACTGTGACTGTCCTCCAGGCAGCCTGGAGCCTCCTCTGCACTGCTGTGTGCACTGCTTCTCTTGACAGCCCTGGGAGGCCAGCGGGTGGTAGCTCTATTTTCAGGGTAGGAAGCTCAGAATCTTGCTCACAGGCAAGTGAGCGGCAGATTGGACTGGAGCTCAGCCTCCTGCAGGGTGATGGGAAACCCACCTGTGTTGCGGGTGTCCTAGTGGGGGTTTGTAAGAGCTAGGACTGCCCTAGCCATGCCAGCCTTAGGCCAAGACCTCATGGGGTGACAGTGCCTTCCCCTAGGAGAGAGGCAGGCTGCAGCCGACCCTGCATTAAAGAGAGCCTGCTGACTTCTGCCTCTGCGCTGCTGCTCCCCGCCTTGCTCTGGGTCCCTCAGCACCCTGGCTCTTGCTGCTCACTTTGCTATTGTGTCTTTAAGGCATCAGGTTGGATCTAGTGTGGGAGCCAGTAGTTCCCTAGTTTTGAGAGCTGCGAGGGATTCCCACCCTGTTTGGTGCTAAGCACTCCCCTGTGTTATTTGCCCCTCTCCAGCGCTCCCGTGTTTTGAAAACTCAGGTCAAACTGTGGTGCCACATAAAGGATGACTCCGTTGTTTTTCTTATTTTTTTCTTAAGCAGAGCTAGAGCTACTGGCCTGACTTCTCAATAGCTGGAGATAGCCAGCATCACCCTTGGGGTGAGTGGGATCCAGCCCAGAGTTCAGCATGGGCTGCTCCCACGGCCGGCACATTTACCTGGCCTTTGTTGAGGGCTTTTTGCAACAACTTTATGGTATCTCAGTGACTTCCCCCACTTCCACTCTACCCTCAAGGAGCCACAAGGATTGGATAGCCCCGGGGAGGAACTCCTGCCCTGGCATCTTTCATGCCTGGGAAGTAGGTTGGGAAAGATCCAGACAGGGCAGAACCATGTTCAAGGTTCCCTGGGCCTTTCCCAGGGCAGCCTCTAGGGACCCGTGGCTCCTGGAAGGGGAGGTTGGGCTCCGGGGCAGCCCTGCAGTGATGCTGTTGCTTCTTCCTCTCTACCTAGATTGGCAAAGGGACAGGCCCGCCCTCTCCCACTAAGGACCGGAAGAAGGATGTTTCTTCCCCACAGCGGGGCCAGTCCAGCCCCCACCGCAGGAACAGCCGCAGCGAAAGACGGTGAGAGAGGGATCACCCCTGGGTGGGTCCAAAGAGGGTTTTTTCCTTTCCTCTCATCCTGTGAGTCCCTCTTTTTTTTTTTTTTTCTTTCGTATCTCTCTCCCACCCTTCTCTCTTTTCTGCTCCTACCCAAGGGAGGTGAGGTGGGACGGTGGGTTTAGGAGTTTGTGTATTGACATTTCCTATAGCAAGGCAGTTTCATTTCCCCAAAGAAACCAAACTCGGGCTGGGCGCAGTGGTTCACGCCTGTAATTCCAGCACTTTGGGAGGCTGAGGCGGGCATCACCTGAGGTCAGGAGTTCAAGACCAGCCTGGCCAACATGGTGAAACCCCATCTCTACTAAAAATACAAAAATTAGCTGGGTGTGGTGGCGTGCACCTGTAATTACAGCTACCCAGGAGGCTGAGGCAAGAGAATCGCTGGAACCAGGAGGCAGAGGCTGCAGTGAGCCAAGATGGTGCCACTGCACTTCAGCCTGGGCAACACAGCAAGACTCCATCTCAAAAAAAAAAAAAAAAAAAAAAAAGAGAGAGAAACCAAACTCGGCTAGCCCACTAGTCTGAGCAATGGGTTACGTGGGAGAAAAGGCAGAAAGGATAGGGTCCCTGCAAGGCAGTGAGCCTCCCAGAATGTCATGGGGGAGGGCATGAATATTAGATGACTTTGAACATAACTTTGCCCCTGCCCCAAGAGTCTGGTTTTTGTCTGTATCTGGGTGGCAAGAACAAGCCATTAACATACCAGCTCTCCTCCTCTGATTTCAGCTCCTACAACACATCGCTCTGGCTCTTTGCTTTAAGTATGTCATTCAGGAGCCACCTCTATGGTATGAATTCATGGGTGGGGTACTAAGCAGGCCTCTGACACCAAGATATCCATCATCTTTGACTTTGATCTAAAAGCTTTTGTAGATGCCAAAGCCCCCTCAGAGAGATTTATCCTTTTTTTTTTTTTTTTTTTTTTGAGACGGAGTCTCACACTGTCACCCAGGCTGGAGTGCAATGGCACAATCTCGGCTTGCTGCAGTCTTTGCCTCCTGGGTTAGAGCAATTCTCCTGCCTCAGCCTCCCAAGTAGCTGGAGCTACAGGCATGTGCCACCATGCCCAGCTAATTTTTTTGTATTTTTAGTAGAGAAGGGGGTTTCACCATGTTGGCCAGGATGGTCTCCATCTTCTGACCTCGTGATCTGCCCACCTTGGCCTCCCAAAGTGCCGGGATTACAGGTGTGAACCACCGTGCCCGGCTGAGAGATTTATACTTTAAGCTGTTACCTACCAACTGCAGCCAGATTAGCCAGCCTCCAGGAGAGAGCAAGCCTGTGAGAGCAAGCCAGAAGTCACATTCAGACAGCACAGGTGGGCCGGGGCCTCCAGAAACACACTTCCACGTGCACTGTGCTGTGCGTTGGAGGGCTGCTTGGAGAATGCGGTGGGGAAGTCACCAGGCAGCCGCTGCTGGCTCCCCCGCTCCCTCTCCCTAACAGACCACTCATTCTCCCCGTACTCTGCTCTCTTCCTTCCTATAGGCCCTCAGGAGACAAGAAGCCTTCCGAGCCCAAAGCCATGCCAGACCTCAACGGGTACCAGATCCGCGTCTGAGGCGGGTGCCAGCACTGCAGGCCCCACCCACCCCTGGGGGCCAGGATCTCTCCTGAAACCAGCCTCACACGTGGGGAAGACGGGGCTGGTGACGAGGCAGGGCAAGAGGCTGCAAGGAAGAGTGTGTTCCAGCTCAGCCCCCCAAGCTGCTCCCACTCCCACTGAGCCAAGCCCCCCAACTTTGGGCTTAGAGGCCGTTAGTATTTTACTTGGAGTTTTTAACTCTACAACTGAAGTTTAAGGTATCCGGGGAAAACTTAATCCAAATGGATCTGCTGATGGTGGGAAGGCCAGGGCTTAGGAGATCCACATGCCACGGGGCCAGGTGAGGGGGGTTGCTAGCTCTGCTGGCGCCTCTGCCCCTGGCTTCTCTCTGGGAGTTGAGTACATCCACTCAATGGGAAATTTCCCAGCCCTACCAGGCCCATGGTGAGGGGTGGGGGTGGGGGTGGGTGGAGATGTTTCTCCAGTTCTGCCTGCCCTGGCAGAATCTTGACCCAGGGAAAAGGAAGCAGGGTAGGAGTCCTCCTGAGAAAGATCTGTGTAGCCCATAAACCAGTAGCATGGCACAGGCCACGTCTGCCCCAAGAGCACAAGCTCATGGCCCAGGAGAGCCTTCAGGCCCTCAAGGCCTGCATGGGCAGTGCTGTGTGGGCTGAGGATGGGTGATAGGTGAGCCTGGGGAAGGATCCCTGGGCAAAAAGTTCCCACGCTGACTGCGTCTACTTGCTCAGTCCCAGCTCGGCCTGTTTCTCTAGCCCAGAGGCTCCCTGCGGAGGGTCTGGGCTTGGTGGAGGGCCCAGAGTGGCGCTGAGGCCAGCATGGCTGAGAGTTGAGCAGACCCTGGGTGCCAGTCCAGGAGCTGTGGCTGGGCATAGGGTGATGGGGTGGGGTGCGTGGGCCTGGGTCTTTCCCCCGGCAGTGGCAGGAGTCCTTGCTGGGGAAATCAAGACCAGACTGGGATGCTTGTGCCCCAGGCTGGCCTTCCATCCTTTTAGTAGCCCGTCTTGGCTTGGGGGTTGCAATGATAGCTGGGCCAGTCGCTTGTGGCAGGGTATCAGGGCCCTGGCAGGGAAAACATAGGCACCTAGGGGTGTCCCCAGCCTGCCCATCAGCATGAGAGATATCTGGTGGGAAGTGAGAGGATGCAGAGAGGTTGGCAGGGCTGGGGGTAGGTTCTGGAGGCTCAAGCAACAAGGAGGTGCCGGGAAAGGGTGCAGTGCAGCTGCTGAGGAGGGACAGAGCCCAGAACTGGGGGATGTAAGTGAGAAAGGGATGTGGGGCAGAGTTTAGGATCAGGCTGCTCGAGGAGTTGTGGGTTGCCTACAGCGAAGACGAGATGGCTGTCAGGAGGTATAGAAAGGATTTGGGTTGTGGAAGGATACATGGATGAGATGACCGTTGAGGTTTTGCTGTTTTACTGAGAGGCTGTAAGTCCGCCGGGGCGGGGCTGTCAGTCAGGCTGTGGAAGGACTGGGGGCTACATAAGGAAGATCAGAACTTGGGCTGTAAACTCTCAAGGCCACAGGGCCGGCAAACGGTGAGAAGGAAGCTTCAGGGCTGGCTGGGGGCTGTGGCTACCTAAAGAGGGTGCACCCTGTTAAAGGGGCTGCAGCTGCTCAGCTGTTCTTACAGTGCCAGCCCTGTGTTTCCAGATTGTCTGCTGTGTCAGAGGCCAGAATTCTGATTTTTTATGCGAAATAGGATTTTTAAATGCTGGTGATCAGTTCATAAAACCTAAAAACCCAGTACAGGAGAAAGAGGATGCCAGTTTGCAATCCCTGAAGTAGAGCGAGCTCATGCTGGGGAGAAGTCCGCCAAGAGAGATGGGGTGTATGAAAGTCCTGTTTCCCAGAGCTGGGCTGGGCCGGGTAGGGGTGGGATCCTGGCAGCTGAAGAGGAGGAAAAGCCACTGAGGTTCCTCCCAGAGCGGGACAGACCGGAGACCCTTTGCAATTGCTGGGTCACCAGCGGGGGTGGCATGAAATAGAGACAGTGCAGCTCTGGGCCTGCCAGGGAGATGGATGTTGTCTTCAAAGCAAAGAAAGAGGAAAGGAGGGCAGAGCCAGGGCTGCCCTTGCTGATGAGAGTGCCTGTCAGGGAAGGCACCACAGGCTGGCAGCTCGTCAAACCAGCAGCTCTTGACCCAGAGCCAGACTCAGCAGGGCCTGGCCCGAGGCACCCTGGGAGGCCAGCTGGTCAGTCCCTTGCCTCCTCAAGTTTCTCCCGGGGTCAGTGAGCCCTGGGAGGTGCCTAACCTAACTCCAGCCACACTAACCAGAGGGGCATGCTGACCCCTGACTCGCTGTCCCATCCCAGCTTCAGGGAGTGGGGATGGTGTGGTCTCCATGTGCCCTCTAAGCCTAAAGCGAGATGGTTCACCTCGGGAGGGGCCAGGCTGGCATTGGGCCCTCAGCCGCCTCTAGGAACTCCCGACTCCCGGGCATGACAGGGTTTCAGGGGAGTAGATATGAGAGGGAGAATCCTCGTTCCGGAGTCTTAGAAAGTTCCAACTTGCAGGCTCCTTTCCCAGATCCCTCCATGGAGAAGCAAGCGGAATGAAGCCCTAACCTGCTTACTGTCCTCAAGGGAGGGAGCCGTGCCCCAGCTGAAAATCTCCTCCCCCCCCCGCCCCCTCACCGCACTCACCCTTCCTGAACGGAGACTTCGGGCCTGTGAAGACCAGCGCAGGACATAGTGGTGCTTTTTAATTTATGTTTAACTGTTTCTCATATGTAGCAACCCCTCCTCCCCTCCTGGGCGTGTTTACACAGGCTCTGCTTGGGGGCTGGCCTGGCCTTGAGGTTTCTGGGGAGGCAGAGAGGCAGGGACTTTGAGGCCTTAGTCACCATCCATGGTTATCACCTCATCTCACTTCCTGCGAGGGACGGGGCCTGGCTGATGTGACCCCAGCTCCCTCCAGTTCAGGACTGCCTTAGGGCTCCTTTGCCTTTGGAGTTGGGGGCTGCTGGCTGAGGAGGGGTCAAGGTGAGTGCCAAGAAAGCTACCTGGGGAAAATGGACCCGGGCGGGGGGGTGATGGCAAAGTCTCCCCAAAGCCTGGCTCCTTGTGCTCAGTGTCAGGAGCAGACCACGGGGGAGCCAGGTGTAGAGAGCCTTCCTGCCCACCTAACTGCCAGCCCTCTCCCTCCACAGCCTCTGCACACCCTCATGTTCCCCCTATCCATCTTGCCAGCCACACCATCCATCTTCTGGCAGAGCCAAGTAGGGGAAAGCAGCAGCGCTCTGGCCTTGGGATGTGATGATAAAGCAAGCCTAGGGCCAGAGTTTGGGGAGCAGAGAGAGACAAGAAGTTGGCCATGTCTGATTTCCAGCCCTTCCCGCTTGAACTTGTCTTCCCAGGTCAGGGAGTGGGTCTCATTCCGGCTGGTGGAGTGCCCCGAGGCCTGTGTGGGCGTGTGTGCCTGCTTTACCTGCCTAGACTGTTTTCTGGCTCAGCTGCAGCAAGTCGGCAGGCCCACTGTCTGCCCTGTGTCCCTGGCCTCACTCCCAAGTGCAAGGACATGCGCGCTGGGCCCAACATGATGATGGTGTGAAGGGCAGGAAACAGTCCTCTGAAGGAGTGGGAGGTGGGCAGTCTGCCCCGGCCAGGCACCATCACCTCCTGGCAGCTTCCGCAGACCAGGCAGGGCTGCTGTGGTGCCGGCTGCCAAGTCCATCAGTACTGACCGTCTCGCTCCATCTTGGTGCTCCGGAGTCCCAAGTTTCCCTTTATCATCAAGTCTGACAAGAGAGAAGAAACATGGGTGTGCCTGGCCCACAGGGCCTGGTGGTGTCGGACCTCCCCGCTCCCTCAAGCTCTGTATGGCTGCAGTGTTGTACTAGACTTTGTTCTTGCTGTTCTCATCTCAGTATTGCCTCACCCTTTCACTTACACTTCGTCTCATTCCTGTTGTCACTCTCCCTTGAAATGAATAAAGTCTCCCCATCTCCTGCTGTATGGGTTGGGCAGAAACCACAACCTGTAAGCCTTGTCTCCTTTCCTTTGGAGCTGGGGCCCGAGCCTTCCCCCAGCTCGACAGCATCAGCCTCGTTGGCTCTGGAAAGAGCCTGACCTGAGCCCAAAGCCAGGAACAGGAAACCTCCCAGCCCCAGCTGTCGTGATGAAACTTCCATGGTCCCAGACTTTCCTTCTCAGCCTGCTGAAGCCACTCAGGCCTTGTTAACCCTGATCTGCGAGCAGCGCTTTCCCGTTCTCCCCACACAGTGGGCCTGGCCCCCGGAGGCTCAGGTCAGCTCCAAGGATATATTCCAGGATCCTGCTCTTCCGGTCCCAGTCCACAGCAGTCCATCAGGAACAAAGGAAAATGGGGCGTGTTCTCCTGGGAGATGAGTGTAGCTCAGGAAACCATAGCAACCTTCTCAGCACTATTGACATCCAGAACCCATGTTTTGGAAAACACCTCTGGGTCCGTCCACCACCCCCGTTCTTCCTGTCAGTTGTCCCTCCAACTCTGGACCTCTTCCCACACTTTTAAGACAAGCCCAAACAGTTGAAACCAGACTCGCACAGAAATATCTTTTAGATTTCACAGCAGATTTCACTCTTAACCCTTCCTGCCCTTGTCTCTGCTCTCCTTTCATTCAGCTTAAGGGTGAAATCCAGACCTGTGAGAGGAAGCAGTGTATTTCCTTACTTTTCATACCAGCCAGTCCCCATGAAACCTTAGCCAGAAGTATAATTTAGCATCACAAGACTCCCTCATTTTCAGTGGTGTGGTAGTGACGGGGGTGGGGGGAAGGGGACATGGCAGTGGGAAAAGGACAGGTGACCTGTTGGAATCCACCAATGTCCGGACTGCACACCAGTACATAGAGGCAGTTTTGTTACAGGCTCCTTTAAATCCAGCTAAAACACCCCCCAAAAAAAGCATTTCAAAGTAACCAGAATTTGTGAATACCTTGCATTGCACACCCTTTCATAGAGGCAGTGTTGCAATTTTCACATTTAAGTCCAGGTAATATGATACCAAGTAAAGGGTAGGTTGCAACAAGACAGGTTCATACAGTGGGGCCCCTGGCCTGCTCTTGTATGAATGAGGGGCTGGGTGAGTGCTGGGGTGAGAATTGACAATAATGAGTCAGGCAAGCTCTTTGGGGACACTGGCCGTTTTCTTAGAAAGCAGAAGGAAATGTCACTGCAGACTCCTGGAGGATCAGCACCCAACCTGCCCGGGGGTGGAAGGGGCTACATCACTTCCTGCCATCCTCTTCCTCAGGCTCACAGCACACACTTGCCTAATTTAGGCATGTGACTGAGTTACACCTTTGGGTGCAAGTGGCCCTTCCAGAGGCCTGATGATGAAGGGGTTGAGGCTCTGCTGCCCCATTTGCCAGGAGCTCGCATTTGAACCACTACCGTGGAGGTAGTAGCAACAGGAAACAGTCATACCAAGAACCAAGCAGAATGGCCCAGATGCAGGTTGCCTGTAATCCTTAGTGGCTGCCAGTGGGGTGAGGGGACCAGCTGTTAAGGCCTGGCAGGTGAGGAGAAGCCACGTCAGGTCAGCTGGTGGCTCACCTCTCTGAGCCCAGCCCAAATACAATGTGCACACAGATACGTGGACTTTTTCCAACCCTGAGCCAGAAGGACTTGGCTGCTGGCAGCACAAAACCTCCAAGAACTTTAAGTGCAGGCTCTGCTCTCCTCTGTACAGCAAGCTGAGGCTCCAGGCTTAGGGTCATAGGAACTGACTGGGGATGGGGCAGAAGTTGAGTTCCCTCCGCAACCCATGATGTCCACATTCTCTTGCTTCCGGCAGATTTGCACCCCTACCACCACACTGCTGTCTGGCTGGCCCATGCCTGGAACAGTCTTGTCTAGCACATTTGCTCAGAAGGGAGAGGAGAGCGGATGCACCAGAGTGATGGGAGCCCAGGGCTGCAGGGCAGCTCCCCCAGGTGGAACCCAGAGGTGGCCCCTCCCACTCCTGGGAGAAGAGAAGCTACACCGTGCACTACGAATCCAATTAAAACACAACCCTCCAACAGAGGATGGGATGGGGTTACCAGAGGCTGGGAAAAGCAGGGGAGGGGAATGAAGAGCAGGTGGGTGGTGCAAAAATACGGTGAGGAGTAAGTTCTAGGTTTCGATAGTGCAGTAGGGAGACTATAGTTAACAATCTATTGCATATTTCGAAATAGAAGAATTGGAATGCTCCCAATACAAGGAAAAAAAGGAAAAGAGAAATGCTTGAGATGATAAAGGTCCTTAAATACCCTGACTGGTCATTACACTTTGTATACATGGATCAAAATATCACATGCAGCCCCCAAATATGTACAGCTATTACCTGTCAATTTTAAAAAAGAAAAACAAAAGAACCCAGAACATTCCTCTAGTTAGTAGCTACATCAGGGCAGGAACTGGAGAGAAGCAGCAGCAGCCTCCTCACTGGCCATTTCCCTTCTTGGTCTCCAGCTAAAAGCTGCCTCTGAGCTCCCCCGGCCCGGGGCCCCACCACCAGTGTCTGCCTTTCGAGATAACCTGTCTCACCTAATCCTGGAAAGGCTTGTGAGAAGCCTGGGGTGGTAAGACAGTAAGCAAGGCCTGGGAAGGAAGAGACATTTTTTCAGGGACAGATGGCTCACTGCTCAGCCCTGACTCCAGAATGCAAAAGAAATCAGAAATAGATGCTCAGCAAGAAGCATGTGCCACCCGCATCATGCCTCATGCAGCTGCCATAGCTTTAACCAGGAAAACACACACCTTACCCCACTTTGCAGACCCTCCTGAAGCGCAGTAGATGCTAGGGGAGGCATGGGGGGAACAGATGGAGGAAGAATGAAAAGCAGTCCAAAGAGTCATCCTCTCACGTGGCAAGGACGGAAGAAAGCTATATCCAACAGTGTCAGGGCAGGAGGCTTCAGAGCAGTGGGAATTTACCTCGGCGAATAGAGGGAGATCTTACAACACATTTCACAAGCTAGATTTATGTCTTGAGATGCCACCCCAAGATCAAAAGCTTCTCGTTCTTTTCCACTCTGCCCACTTCATTCTTCAGGCCCTCTCTTAAGGGCCTAATCCCTTCAGCATCCTAAAAAAAATGACCAACAGTAGAGGGGAAAAAAAGGTAAACCTTTATTTGGAAAAAGACTTTAAATAACCATTTAAAACCCCATTTCGTTTTCAAAACAGAAACAAGTAAGCAAGGAAAAGATCATCTGTCAAGCACCTGCCCTCTGCCCTCATTAGCCATTTCAAACCTGCATTTCCCAGCAGAAGAGAACAGTGTTGGGTCCTAGTCCTCGGATCCCATAGGGCACTGTCTTGAGACCCTTTTAGGCAGTGTCCAGGGGACGGACAGACAGAATGAATGGTGGGGTGTGGACAGACCTGGGGCTCAGACAGGCACATGCCCAGTACCCAGGAAACGCAGTTTAAAAATATACACACATAGAAAAATAAATTCCCTAGAACCTAGGCATGGAAAGCTTCTAACCATGAATGCAGCAGCACAATTCAAACTGGGTCTTTGGCTTTCAAAAAAAGGGAAAGAACCTTCACCCCTGGCCCACGGTCCCGAACGCAAGTCCCCTGGCCGCCGTCTTCAGTCCCACTCTGGAGGTTGAGTGGGGCAAAAGCAAGTCAAATCTACCAGGGCCAGCAGCTACTCTGACTTAGTATGTATGGCGGGGCCGGCCCTGGATCTCCCAAGGCCACACCCCAGCAATGGAAGATTAAAGGATGCAGGTGACACGGTGTGGACCAAGGAGTCCCCTGAATAAGCCAGGGTACCCCTGTATTAGGGGAGGGAAAGCAGAGGCAATAAGCAGCTGAGGCCTTGCTGCACAGAGCCAATCCATAAGCACTGCCACTCCAAATTCTTGGACCAGTTTTGTCCAAGGCCACCTTACTGCTGAGGCAGTTTGGCCCGAGCTAAATACCAGGGTTTTCTAGAAAGAAAATGGAAGGGAAGTGGGAGACGGGAGGCAGCAGAAAGTAAAAAGTGGTGGGAGGAGAGGAACAGAAAATTGCTTCTTAGGAGTGCAGAGGAAAGAGAATCAGCTTAGGCCTGAGTCCCAGCCGGGGAAACTGCAGAGTCCACCTGCTCTTTCCCCTACTGGAACTCCTACCCTTGCCCCAGTTCTGCAGGCTGCAGGATCCAGTGAAACAAGAGTTTTCTTGAAGGCTCTTTCTCCTCCTCATCCTTAGTTTTAAACCTCATACCACTTACCCTAGCCCTGTGAACCCCATATAAGGGTTCAAACTTCTGCCTCCCTCAGGGAAGTCTGGAAAAAGGGATGGGCCATTGAGAAATTGCACCAGGTCTATGGGGTTGGAGGCACAGGGCCCACTGGGGCAGGTTGCACATCCCTGAATCTGCCACTCCAGGATGTGGGCCCCATTTGTTCCCAGAGCCCAGATGCAAGGCCTGCTCTGGTTGGCATGATGAATGGGTAATGAAGCACAGAGGCTAAAAGGAGAGATGGGGCCATGCCCTGCTGCTGCCTGATCATACACAGGTACTTGGGTCAGACTCTGCACCTGCCCCTAGGCCTGCAGCACCCATGTGAAAAGCGGACTGGTCAGAGGCAGGCATAGTTGTGCAGAACAGTCCCACCCCAAGAGGACACACGCATGATATGCACATCTCACATGTGCATGCCTGGCAAGAGGGTCCAGAGGTCCTGAAGGCAGGGAAAATGTCGGGTCAGAAGGTACACCAAGAAACGGCCTGAAAGCAAATAACCAATGAGATCAGTAACTCCCACAACCCTGGTAATTAAAAATCAAGGGGGAGCGCTGGATACATGGAAGGAAAGGGGAGCCCCCTTTCTGCCTCTCCCAGGGCCACTGAGTGTGTGGCACAGGATTAGGAAGAGGCTGGGGTGAGGCAGGGACAACAGGCAGAGAGCATGGCCAGGCCTGGAGAAAATCTAACCATGGGAAAAAGGGAACAAGGAGTGGGAGGGGAGGGGATGTAAGTTTCTTGGATCTAAGTTTCCAGAAGCACGGGAT